CTAGTTTCAAGTCTTCTTCAATACAGCATGATGTTCATTTAGTAACATTATTATTTAGTAATTTCCTCTCTGTGTGTTTCAGGTTAGAAGGTATTCAGTATCCGTACCACCTCTACATCAGCCCCTCAGCCCGGCCCGGAACCAACGGCCCCGACCGGCCCTTCCAGTGCCCGACCTGCGGAGTCAGATTCACACGCATCCAAAACCTGAAGCAGCACATGCTCATTCACTCCGGTACGTGAAACGGGAATTATTGATCTTGGGATACTTTTGGAAATATAACATCTCTTACGTCTCTTAGTTTTAAGTCAGAAACACTAAAGGTAGTAAAAAAGTATTCATTCACCGCCACTCACACCTCTACGATGACGCGGAAAAAAAAAATAGGGAAAAATAATACATTACGGGGGGGGGGCTAATATTCCTAGAAAAGGTCTGAATTTTCGTAATCAAATTTGTAAATTTACCAGAGAAAAAAGCGTGGCTATTCTCTGAGATTAAAGGGCAAAATATACGAGAAAAAATTCACAAATTTCAAAGAAAACTTGAACCACCTCCTCTGGACCCAACCAGAGTCCACCTCGTCTGGTCCCAACCAGAGTCCACCTCGTCTGGTCCCAACCAGAGTCCACCTCGTCTGGTCCCAACCAGAGTCCACCTCGTCTGGTCCCAAGTCCTGATCCAAGTCCAGCTTGATCCTGGACCACTATGGATCCAGGTCTCTGTGAAGATGTGGGCTCAACAGTCACCGACCTCCTGCTGCTTTCATCCATCGTATGTTTCTGAGACCAAACATCAGACAGCCAGGATGCATGCTGGGTAGTGGAGTAGCCTCAGGTGCTAGCTGGGTTAGCTTAGCTTCAATGTGGGCTCTCCTCTCTGGGACAGTTTGGTGGTGTTTGGTCCAATAGGCCACGCCTCCTCTTCAGATGTTGATGAGTTTATTCTGTCATATGACATGTGATGGACTCACAGCTGACCATTGTGTTTCTTCTTCTCCTCCCTCAGGCATTAAGCCTTTCCAGTGTGACCGCTGTGGGAAAAAGTTCACACGGGCCTACTCCCTAAAGATGCATCGGCTGAAGCACGAAGGTAAACGATGTTTCCGGTGCCAGATTTGTAGCGCCACATTCACGTCCTTCGGTGAATATAAGCACCACATGAGGGTCTCCCGACACATAATCCGCAAGCCGCGGATTTACGAGTGCAAAACGTGCGGGGCCATGTTCACCAACTCTGGCAATTTAATTGTACACCTGAGGAGTCTGAACCACGAGGCGTCCGAACTAGCAAACTACTTCCAGAGCAGGTGAGGAGTCCGAGGGCGCTGACACCCCCCCATCCCCCCATCACTTACTCAGAATCAGAAAATATCTTCAGTTCAGATTCTAATACCTGAGGTTCATTTCTTTTCTGACATTAATTGTGTAGAATTGTTTTTGAGGTGATTTCAATTGATTTGAATGCACAGATCAAGTGTACCTGAAGTATTTCACTGTGTTCATTGGGGAGCTTTTATTTAAAGGTAAAGTTTGACATTTCTTTATCCCAAGAGTTAGATGAGAAGACTGACACCACTCTCAGATCTGTTATCTAAATATGTAGCGGGAGCTAGTCGGTTAGCTTAGCTTAGCATTAAGTCTGCTGGAAACGGGGGGGGGGGGGGGGGGGG